TCATGATATCTTTATTCTATTACTGATCACTTATCCATGCTTATATTTGTTCAAGAGAACTCCTGTAATAAACTATTAAAAATATTAGTATTCATATTAATCCTCATTTATATATCACTATGGTTATTAACAATCATTTAATTATTAAAGAAAGAGTCACAAGTGGAACTATTACAAGAGGTAATGATTAATTTATTCAGCAGAATTATTATACTTTCATTAATTGGAGAAGTATTATAAGAGATAATAATTTGTAAAAAGATATGAATGTTTAACATTAATGAATAAATATCAAGGTAGTTAGTACAAGAGATATTAATTAGAAAGAGAGCATTAATGATTGAATATTAAATAAATATTAAAGAGAATTTTGATAATATATGACTGACTGACCTATAATATCTTGTTACATGAGAGTATAATTATGACCAGTGACAATATTTCAGAAACAATCATTAATAAAATTTCTAAATTCACAGTTTTTTTTATAATGACAAAAAGAATCTGTTCTTATACTGTTGCTGAAAAAATTACTATTATAGAATTTTCTCAGTCAAATGCAGAAAGTCACAAATTTATCAATAGGTTAAAGAACATTGATAAAATCATCAAATAAATATTAGTAGATTTGGACAAAAGCACTATGTAGAAAATCAATTAAAAGTTTGGAATTTTAATTTTGAATGATATGTACAAGTTTTTTTCTAAATATCTTGGAGCAATTGATGATTTTAAAGCATCTGACAAGTGAATTTTTAAAATATATGATTTGACTGATGGCTTTCTAGGTAAATTGTTTTCCATTCATATTTACTTTGAGGATTCCAAAAGCTCTCTGAAGAAAAATGAAAATTTCACAAAAACTCAACTGAACAACTTAATGATTCAAAACCACCATTATATATATATATATATATATATATATATATATATATAGGGCCATCAGGAAAATGTGTTTTTTTTGATACACATATTATATGTATATTATATGTGTATTATTTTACATTACAGGTGATCTGCATATAATATACATATAATACACATGTCCATAAAGTACACACGAATTATACATATATTATATGCAGATCACCTGTAATGTAAAATAATACATGTATAATATACATATAATATATGTATCAAAAAACACGTTTTCCTGATGTATATATATATATGAATTTTATTTCCATTCCATACATTTATGAAAATGCAGATCATACATATATACATTTTTATTAAATTAATAATATTAATATAAAATTTATGTATGTGTGTATATATATATATGAATATGATCATATAATGCAAGACACCTAGTTCCTACAACTTTCTGCGCCATAACAACATTTTTTGAGAAAATTTACAATCAAAAATGCAATAAAAATCTTATTTGTCACATGTTTGTGAAGATTGCCAAGTGCAGGATTTTATTCAGATAATATGTACATATAGATAATTAAGATAATATAAGTATGTGACAGTTAATATACCAATTGTATTAGAAAAAGGAAGATTTTGTTCAATAATATGGTTCTCAGTTTTTTTCCTTTGCCTTATCACGTGATAAAGGATCGACCATACAAATTTCAAAAATTTTATCCTTCAATTTTAATATGAAAAATTTGTGTGCTTTTGGGGGTAACATAATAAATTTGTTAAGCTTGTAAGGTGCCAATCATCTAAACACATCAAATGCTGCGCCAACCGGTGAAATTTTTGTATGAAAATCATTCCTTTTATGGAACTAATTTTTAACAATTTTTTAATTCAAATCTATTTCTTTTTTTTTTGTTAAAATGCTTAAACATAATAAAAGAAATCAACATTTACAAAAAGCTCATGAAACTAAAAAAATGAAAGAAACTATTAAACCCATTACAGATGAATATATTGGTAAGGAGGTGTTTGAAAATGAATCTCAGATTGACACAAACATTTTGAATGAATTAGATGTAAATGAACCTGGATTAGAAATTAAAGAGTTGATCTATCAATACATTGAATCTGATGATGACTGGAGAGATTTATCCTTAACTACAGAATTAGAATCTTGGGAAGGTTTACAACAAACTGTGTCATTGGCTCTTAATCCTATTTCTCTCTGTAAAATTCGTAAATTTGCAAGAAGATGCTATAGGTTATGAGTGCCTATAAGATGGGGCTTTCTGGTAAAGCTGCTATTTTTGCAGTTAAAAAGTATCACTCTCACAGAAGAGTTCCCGAATCTGTTTTAGTGGAATTTCACAAGCCACGACTATCACGTGACATTTTTTATATTGTGAAAATATTCTTTAAATAGAGTAATGATCAGTGGTGAAATTTTTTTTTTAATAGTAAAAATGACAAACTTTAAACCATCATAACTCTCTTCATTTTAATAAAATTTAAAAAAACTCTATTGCATCTTTCCTTATGTCTTATAGAATAAAAATATAGAGAGTTTTTTTTTTATCTTGGATGGTCATTGAGCTTATAAATTTTAAAGTTTAGACAAAATTTTTGATGTCTTTAGATGATTGGCACCATACAACTTTGTGGCTTAATTCCTCCACCATACGTATCAACAAAAATGAAGATGCAGCTTTGTAAAGAAAAAAGGTCTTAGCTTCAAAATTACATTTTGTTTTTTTGGTCATGCATTTCCATTTTTGGAGGAGTTAAAGGATCCGCAAGACCAATAAAAGTTGTAGGGACTATATAGGTGTCCTGCACTGTATAAAATCCAGAACATAATAAATAATATATAACTTAATTTGTGATGCATGAAAGAAGTAGATAAAAATCTCTGTCAATCCAGGGCAAAATTGTGTAAAAACTGATGAATCGAAATACTTCCAAGATGACCAAAATATTCACATACAATAAAATAGTGTGACTTTTAGGAACATTAAAATCATAAAATTGTCTTTATTTAAAAAAATTATTTTTTATTTAATAAAAAAACAAACTTTACTTTTGGGCACTGCTGGATTTTGAAGTAAAAATCTAAATTCTTTGTGTAATTCTTGTATTAAACTTTAAGAACTACTCAAAATTTGATCACATAATTTCTCCCACCATCATCAAGCCCTGGAAAATAACTTGCAGGAGAGTTGAAGTAATTTTCTTTATTGTTTCTAAATAAAATTGTTTTTTATTATTTATAATTTTATTAGGGATTGTATTAATAATAGTGTAGTTCAAATAATAAGTTGATTTCTTGTATTGGGTGGGAAATTTAGACCACAGACAGTAAATTATTCAAAACTTGACCATGTAATTTCTCCTGTCATCATTAAGCCCTGAGAAATAATTTGCAGAGTTAAAATAATTTTCTTGTTTTCTATTATTTATAATTTTATTAAAGATTGTATTAATAATAACATAATTCAAATAATAATAAGTCGATTTCTTGTAGTGGGTGGGAAATTAGATTACATGCAGCAAATTATTCAAAACTTGACCATGTAATTCTCCTTTCATCATTAAGTCCGAGTTAAAATAATTTTCTTGTTTTCTATTATTTGTATTACTGTATTAATATTAATATGTATGTATGATCTGGATTTTCATACATGTATGGAAATAAAATTCATACACATTACATGCTTTCTGTATTATCAAATGAAATACATATTACTTTCTTTTTTAACCTTGTCAAGTTAATTAATTGTAATGTTTTCTTTTAAATCATTGTCATTTACTGTATTGATGTCATTGTGAGCCTTTGGATCATTGCGAATTATATCATTTTTAAACCAAATATCATAACTGCCACCAAAACAAGTAATAAAGAACACCTGCATAAAATTATATATTATTAATGACAAAGTATTAATATCATTTCTGTTACTTATATTAAATATAAAGCTTACAATTGTACTTTTATATTCCAATAAAATGGACACGAGAGTTCTTTTTAACGAAATGCACATCACCTACACCATCTATATTATTAAAGTTATGTACAGTTCCTACCAGATACCCAAATACAAATGGATTAATTGTACATAATAATTACATCTTACAAGGTAGTCTTTTGGTTAACATCAATTATTTAACAAGTGTGTTGACAATGGATTAACTTTTGGGTTACTCTTATCAGCTAATCGCAAACTATAGATTATAATTTGGTGCTTGTCAATTAATAAGTTACCAATTTACTTTAGTTATTGCCTCCTGCTTCTTCCTTGTGCCTAGAAAGCTTTGGTTAATCTTTAAGCACGTTTAATGGTACCAGACAAGTGTAAGGAAACCAACATGGCTTTTTTACAGAGCTCAAAGGTTTCTATAAAGTCCCTTTATCTACTTGTGACTGATTTATTTCAGTCATTTACGCTTGTTTTTATTTATTTGGCCGATTGTAAACTTGCTTTGGTTTATTTACAAACAATTTAAGCAGCTCGTTTAACAGCCTTGCTTTTACAATAATATTACCAGTCAACAGCAATTATTCACTAGCTGTTGTAGTTAACCAACATTAGCCCTAAACTTTCGCAAACAAATTACATTACTAATCGTTAGCTCTCGCTAGTTAACCAACATCAGTACTAAACCTTTGCTTACTCACTAAAGTTGATAAAGCGTGGTTTTTACCAAAGCTTCGCAATTGTTATCTTTTATCAAGGAGCTGCACTTGATGCCTTTTATCAAAGCGTTTCAACGAAAAAGATAAAACAATGGTTTTATTTTTAAAAATTCAATTTTAGGAATTTAACTTATTTATTATTTTATTAGATTGTTAATGTTGTACTTTGCCTTTTTATAATTGCAGAATTTTGATATCAATTTTTGGGAGAAAAAAACTTTTTTTCAACAAACATCACTTTACGACTATAATAAAGCATATTTCATTTCTTTATATGTTTTCTCTGTACATTATTATGAATATTTTAGCAGGGTTCAAATTTTATGATGATTAAGAACCTTAATGGTTTTAAATAATAGAAAATGCACTTAATTTTTTCAAGCATCAAAATTATATGTTCCCGATTTTAGAATGATAGCTGGAGAATAAATTACATATGGATATTTCAACTATGATAAAAGATAAAGGAGACGGTGGATTGGAAAAGAGGTTTCTGAAAATATCGGTATAGCAAGTAGAACAAATAAGTACTAAAAGATGGTCTTCACCAAATGTTAAAAATATAAAAAAGTTGACGGATTTAAATTCTCAGTACACAAATTTATTTCCAACATACTTTGTAACAAGTTTACGAATGAGAACGCAAAAGTGAGCCTTTTACATATCATGTGATATATATATATTTATACAAACTTGTATTGTATTGCATGAAATTATTACTACTAGAGGTATTCCTTTCAGGCCATAGAACTCAACCTTCTATATTCAGCTACGACGTCTTTATCTATTCCTATCTTCTAGCGACTAAAATCAAACGAAAAGAGATCCAAGGAATTCCGAGAAGGAGTCCTGTTCATTGTTTTTAAATACCTTGAAGTTTGTTTTGATAAATTATCATTGTCTATTCTACTGTAAGAGATGCCTGTATAGACCTTTTCTCTACTTGCATTCTTGATGTAATTTTGTAAAAAAGAATTTTTTGAACGCGAATCAAAAAAAAATTTTTGTATTATTTTGTTTAAGAGTGTGAACCAAATGAAAGATTGGCTATATATGTGTTTGCTGTTAAATGGGCAATCCAAACAAAAATCATTGTCAAAAAAGTCAACCAAGTCTTTTTAAAACACAAAAAAAAAAAAAAACCATTATTATGATTATTCTTGTTACAAATCTTTTCTACTGCCATTGTAAAATAAACGAAGCAGGTTGGATTAAGCATAAAATAAAATAATAAATAATAATAAATAATAAATTGTAGTAATGATAAACAGGTCATCCATTACCTTTACCTCTTCACTCTCTTCCTGTTAACAACAAACTACGATTTTTTAATAAAACCAAACATGTGAAGGACTAAAAAAAATTAAGAACCTTTACCTAAAGAAATAAAAACGGTCTGCAAAGTAGAGCAAAAGCAAAAGGTAACGTCAGCAAGAGAGTGAGTGAGACCTTTAGAAATTGAATATTTCCTGTACGACCCAAAATTTGTGTGATGGCACTTTTGGTTTTTATCTCGATGTACCGGATTTTTGGAATTGATGGTATCATCTTTAAGAATAATGATCAAAACAAGAGAAAACATCTTGATCCAAAAATAGGCTTGGATTACAACCTGTCAGTCATGATAATAATTTTGTTGTAACATTAACAAATTTAGGAATACGCTTGTCAAACATTCAAAAAGTGCATCTTCAGATTCAAATACAAAGCGATATTACCGAAGAGAAACAATTACTATTTCCAAAAACTTTGGGCAATTATTCCATCAGAACATTGATATTTCGCTGAGAGAAGCTAACTGAATTTTTTCACAAGTGCATAAAGCAATTTGTCAATTTGCAATTTTTACAGGAAATGAAAAATATTTGTGAATGATCTTAATAAATAAAGTAACAACACTGCATTGGGAAAATATGGTGATTTTTCATTATAAGCACCATCTGATGCAGAATATTGCATTAATCAAACTTGCGGTCGCCAATTAATATAGTGCGGATCAAAAGTTAAAAAATTTGAAATGTTATGTGATCCATATGTTGGATTTTTAAAAATCACCACCTTTCAATTCAGCTTTAAAAAGGGAGTAAATTCACATCAAAAAAAAAATTGAGTTTATTTTTTTTTTCATGGATTTTTTTAAATTTGAGAGTTATGCTCAGAACTTGCAATAATAAATAATTTTCGCGTTACAATATTTTTAATTATATGACCAGATTTGGGAATGATTTTCTTTTGATGTAATATATATGTTTTTTATTGTATATAAAAAAAGGAAATAAACAATACAAATAAATCAATATACACATCTAAACTCGATAAGTCAGACATTTATTTATATTATAAAGTACTTTAAACGATTGATTGCTGCTGCGTCCGACTTATCGAGTTTAGATGTGTGTATGTCATAAAAAAAATATTCTGAAAAACAATTTAAATGCTAAGGCCCTGCCAATTTTAGTTAAGAAAAAACTAGCCGATAAGTTTTGAAGCTTGTCATGAACAATAAAACTTATGGTTAACTTTTTTAAAATTTTTTTTTAGTATTTTTTTTGAAGCTGACCAATTAATTGATTATAGATGATCTGCATTTCAAAACCCGATTTGGAAAATAAATTTATTATTATTATTATTATTATATACTTATGTAATACGCGTATGAAAAAAAATAAATTAAATTGGTAAATCACAGTAATATTTGGTAATATTTGTATTAACAAAACAATCTCAAAAAATAATAACAACATTAAAAAGTGAAGACTCTAATTTAAAAAAAAAGCGAAACAGTAGCTGATCCAATTGTTATTCAAGGTACATTTGAATTACAACAAGTTAGAACACGACAACCACGAAACGCAAAAATGGAGGCTGAAAAAAGGCTTAAGCCAAGTATTAAAAATCTCTACAAAAAAATATTATCTTGGAATTTAAATTCTTCTGGCGATTTTCCTCCTAATATGGATAAAAGAAAATTCAAGAACATACCTGATACATTTAAATCTACTAAAGAATACTTGGATATATTTCAACCATTATTGATATTGGAATGTTGGCAGAGTTTCCTCAATGCAAAAGATGAAATGGATGAAAATGATTCATTTATTTTTGTTGTTGATAGTATCATGATGATATATGAATTCATAGAGATTTATGTAACTGTTCCAGAATCATCAACATCTAATGAATTGACATGGGGCGAAAATGATCTTTTATTAATGAGACAGTTAACATTATCAGATGAACAGGATAAATTGGAAAATAAAAACAAAGAATTCTTAACAATAATCAAAAATATAAATGGTGATAAAGTTACATTGTTAGCCTATTTAGCTAATGATCCCAAGGAAATTCAACGTGAGTTAATATCATTAAGTAAATGGAAAGTCATAAAAGTATCAAGGTAAATTTTAATATTATGAAATTAGTCAGCCTTTGGGTTACATACATTCATAACTATATATACGCATGTATAAATATTTGTAATAGTTTAACACCTGCTGTACGTGAATATTCTGCTTTAATTGGATTGCCATATTATCATTGGCGTGATTTTATTTTGAATCCAAAAAAAATAGCATCAACACTTAAAGTGCCAGCTGATAATATAAATAAATATATGGAAAATTACCATATTAATATATCACAAGCTGAGGCAGTCTGGAAGGTTGTAAGTCGGGAAGAGGGGATTACACTTATTCAAGGACCACCAGGAACAGGAAAGACCTCTACAATTGTTAGTATAGTTAGTGAATTAAGAAAATTTTCTACAAAGTTCAAATCTCGTGTTCTGGTTTGTGCTCCAAGCAATTCAGCAGTAGATGAATTGGAAAAACGATTTAAGCAGGGAGTATATAATAAACAAACTAAAGTTCTTAGATTTGGAAGAAATGAAAGTTTTGAAAGGAGCGCGGACTCAGAATTAAGGTCGAGATTAAAGAAACTGGAAAATGAAATATTCCAAACAGAACAAAAAATTAATGAACCAATAAATGATGCTTGGCAATTTTCTACCTTGCAAGCAAAATCAAATCGTTTGAAAGCTGAGAAAAAATTCATCATTGATGAGTTGACAAAATTGACTACTACAAACAGTAGGTCAGAAAAATATGATATATATAGAACTTGGGCTAGCAAAGAAGATTTGTATGATGCAGATATTATATGTGCTACATTGGCTGGAAGTGGTCATGAAAGACTGTTGAATATGGCAAATGACTTTGAGACTGTGATAATAGATGAGGCGGCACAATCAATTGAATTGTCTAGTTTAATTCCATTAAAGTACAATCCTAAAAGATGTATAATTGTTGGAGATCCTAATCAATTGCCTCCAACAGTTCTTTCACAAAAAGCAACAGAATTCTCATACAATCAAAGTCTCTTTCTTAGATTTCAAAAACTTGTGCCTGAATGTGTACATCTTTTAAATACACAATATAGAATGCATCCTGATATAAGTAAATTTCCTAGTGACTTGTTCTATAATTCTGAACTAAAAGATGCAGACGGCTTATCCGAAAAAAAATTACAACCATGGCATGGAAACAAATTTTTTGGTCCTTACAGATTCTTTGATATACAAGGTTCAATGGGATATGATAAAAGCTCAATATATAATAGAAAAGAAGCTCATACTATATTACAATTATATAGTACTTTGGTCAAAGAACATCCAGGCATTGATGTAAACGCCCTCCTTATTTTGTTATTAGAACTATTTATAGATTTGTATTTAATATACCATTATTATTATCATTATCATTATTATTATTAAATAGTTTAAGGGAAAAGTAGGAATTATTTCTCCATACAAACGACAAGTATCTGAGCTCAAGAAACTTTTTAAATCAAAAATTCCACATAGCTCATATTTATCAATAGATTTTAATACTGTTGTGAGTTTTTATTTTTAAAAAAATATATTCATGGATTTATTGAAATTAATAATGATTAATTTTTTCAATGAATTTTTTAGGATGGTTTTCAAGGGAAAGAAAAGGATATTATAATATTATCATGTGTTCGTGCTGGTGATGGTAATATCAAACTTCTATAATGAATGATAACATGATTGAAATACAAGTCAATACTGATGTCTTTTTTATAATATAGCTAAAAGTATAGGGTTTTTACGAGACTTAAGAAGAATGAATGTTTCATTAACACGAGCCAAAAGCTCATTATTTATTATTGGAGATTCAAAGTCTTTAGAAACTAATGAAAACTGGAACAAACTAGTTTTAGACGCAAAGGAGAGAAATTTATTTACAAATGTATGTAATTGTTATTTTCATCTCTATATATTTTTGAAACAATTAATATTAATCGTCATGTTATCTAGTGTTCAGATACTGAATATTGTAACTTATTTGGTGTTAGTAATATTATGGTATGTACCAGTACACTATTTTTCATTATTGTTTAATTTAAAAAGATTCTGATTTCTTCTTTTTGGATTTTTTTTTCCCCATTTCCCATTGAAAAGACTAAACATAGAACAAATTATCATAACAACAAAAACAAAAACAACAATAAACGTAAATGCATTAATGATAATAGTTGTAACAACAATTATAACAACAGAGACAGCCATAATTACGACTACAATAATAATAACTATTGTAAAAAGGATCGTGAAAAAATTAATGATGAATCTAATAATGATGATGATAATAATATCTCAAAAAAAACCAGAATCAACTAAATCATTTATAGAAGACTATAGAAATACATATATTCTAGATAGATTTCAAGTTGTAAATTTAAATTTTGTTGTATAATATAACAAGAAAATCATTTTATCACAATTAATGAATAATTGAACATGTTGTATTATCATTCCAAAATCTCAGTATTGTTTATTTTTGTCTAGATTCCTTCATTCCAAGAATTTATTCTTTTTGTGAAAGATCCATTTGTTTTATATATATATATAGCTACTTTGGAATTGAATGCATGGGATTTTGCAATACCAAGAATTGTCCAAGTGATTTAAGAGGACTCTGGAATAAGATGATTAGAATCAAATTTGTGATTATTCAACAAAAAAAAGACACTCATTATTATTTGATTGGTATTAGTAGTTATTAGTGGTAAATTTCTTTTTTTGATGCAACTCGGTGAAAATTCTAAATATAACCAATCCCTTAACAATGATCTTAATCCCTCTTCATAAAATTAATTGTAATTGATTGCTTCTTTCAATTGCTTGAGCATTACTTAAATTTTTTGAGCAACAATTAGAATTATTGATTCTAGACATGTATATCATTTTAGAAATAATGAAAGCAATTTTGGTACACATTTACAACTTGATTAATCCTTTCACAATTTCTCAATCATATTATAATGAGAATGATTACGATGTTTTACTGTTGATATGCTTCCATGATTATAAACAAAATACAAGAAAGGTTTCTTGAATGTTCTCAAATTAAAGCAATGAAAATTCTGGATCCAGTCGAATGGCCAGATAAAGATTCTATTGAATATATAAATTATGGAATGATGAATTAAGTATTTTATGGAAACAAAAAGAAAGTTAATCAAGAAGTTTTTTTTCTCCGGTAAATGATGAATGTTTTGGAGTGTGTTATTTTAAAATTATAATTTTAAATAATTATGGCAGAAAATATATGCAGTTAATACTTCCTCTTCACCTGTAGATTGTGAAAGAGGATCGGTGTTCTCGTCAAAATGTAAGATGAGAAATTCATTAAATACCGAAACATTAGATATGTTGATGCAAGTATCTTTTGGAGGGTCCACCAAGTAAAGAATTTGATTTCAATAGAGTATATACTATCTGAAATTTATCGAGAAAAAGATATGGAGTACATGAATACTATTACTATTGCTATTGCTATTGTAAAATTTTGTCGGAAAAATGAAAATTCTGCCGGAAAAAAATGTTTGCAAGAATCAATTAAAAATTAAAGTGATGCATATGGATCGTTAGAAATCGTTTCTATATATGGAAGTGCATGATTGAAACAGGAAAATTTAATAAACGCGGTGTTTTTTTTAAATTTGCATGAATCAAATAAATCATGATATCAAATCTCGTCATTCTTAAATCATCAAAAAAAGAGTTTATCTTGAGCTTATTAAATTCATTAATCATTGTATTGAATATAATTTTCTTTTCTCCAAATTATTTTTTCTTGAAAGGATTAAAAAATTCTGCTTCCTCTAAAAATAATACCTTTCTCTGAAAAATGGAATATAACGATAATAGTGAATTATTATTGATATCAAGTCAAGACCCATTCTTTTCTTCATCTGCAACAATTGAATCTGATGACTTGTATTCACCAGAAATCAAATCAAATACTGATAACGTTGATAATCATTCTTCTCCCTCTTCCTCTCCCTCTTCATTGACATCGAGTTCCACAATACCCTCAGATTTCTTAGAATCTTTTCCATCAACTCCAATTTCAGATTGCTCGTCATCATTGTACACTAGATTTTCCTCTTCATTGCCTTGCTCCAATTCTTCCACTCCGCCCTTTACTGATCCAAAAGAGGAAGAGGAATTGAGCAGAATGATTATGTCTAAATATCTTCAATCAATTAATCAAAAATTATCACGGCCAAGTGATCGTATTATGGATATTATCAAAGTAGATTTTCCAAGAGACTTATCAATACCAATATTTTATCAATTACTTAGTCAGATGGATACAATTGGTGCACAAATGTTTAAACAATGCACAATTCTTAAATTTGTCAGTTTCACTGAATGGAACAATTGTCTTTTTAATAATAACTTTGTTAGTAATAATTTCACTAGTAATACTAGCAATAACTTTAGCAACATGAATGAAAATTCCTATAGAAATAAAATGCATTTATGGGAATTGATGGATTGTATTAATAACAATGGTGGTAGAAATGGCGATTATGATAATAATTATTTAGAACATCAACATCAATTCGAAAATTCACTTCTAGAAACTTCCACTCCATCATCATCAAAATATATTAATTTAGAGATGATTGGATATGGGAGCTATTTGTCATGTCAAAGTGAATTGTTTTCAAAGATATTTTATCATATTTCATCATCAATATATTGTCCAATTAGGACAAACAAATATTTAACAAGAGTCACAATTCCAGTTCCATCAATTTCCACCATTGAACCAATAATCAATTGGTTGTATACTCATAATGATCAAAACTGGTTATTGACCATGAATGAAAATAACTTTGAAGAGGTAATTATTTATTTCTATTTGTGGATCGTGGAAGATTTTTTTTTTTACACAAATTAACTAAACTTTTCTACCAAAAAAAATTTTAATTAGGTTTGTAAGAATGTCATTTTCCTTGAGTTAGGAGACGAGGCATTGAAAGTATTAGAGATTTTTCTAAGTGGAAATATTAATCTTAATACGAAATAATTTGATGATGATGATAATAGACTAATATAAAAATATAATAGCTCGTTTTTTAATATGTTAATCAACGAATTTAAAAAAAAAACCACAAAATCGTGTAACATTGACATCTCTCCCAGCAATAATAATAAATTATTATTCTAAAATGTCTTCTTTTTCGATAATTAACGAGTTCATATCAAATCATCCATTGATTGATAATCATTGCCATAATCTTTTAAAAGATTACTCGGATGATTTCTCATTGGTGAGATGTTTTACAGAAGCTAACTATAATGACAAAATTCGATTGAAGGATACTGTGATTGAAACTTTATCTTTTAAGCGGGGGATTAAGCAATTGCTTAACCTATTAAATATCAATGATTTTGTTATTGACGATTTGAATTCCATCAATAAATTAGAATCATTGATAAGGAGTCGATTTAAGTTTCAAAAATTATGTGAAATCTATTTTAATTCAATCAACATCCAATGTTTATTGCTTGATGATGGAATTTCTAATCTGGTCAGTGATGAGCTGGAATCATTAGATTTTCATTCAAAATATGTAGAGGATATACGAAGAATAGTTAGAATTGAGTCTATATCTGAGCAAATTTTAAATGAATTGTCATCACTACCTTCACAGCAACAAATCACTAAAACATTCTTGGAAAAATTCAACAATGAAATAAGTCAATTATGCAAATCTAATAAAATAATTGCATTCAAAAGTATTTCAGCTTATCGTACCGGATTAAATATTCAATTATTTGATATTGATAACAACAACAATAATGGAGATTCAATTAAGGTGGAAGATAGTTTTAAAGAATATATTACAAATATTAAAAACTCATCTTTGAAAAAATTAAATAATAAAATCTTGATTGATTTTATCATAAATGAAACTTTTAAAATTGCAATTAAATACGATTTACCAATTCAATTTCATACTGGTAAACTTTCATTTATTTCTTTTGTAGGAATTTTTTGAAAAAAATTTTTTTAATTATTTAAAAAAATTTTTTTTTAAAAAATTATAGGATTTGGTGACAATGATCTTGATCTATTATTGGCAAATCCCCTTTATCTTCGTCCTTTAATTGAGAAATTTCCAGATGTCAAAATTGTTCTATTACATTCTTCTTATCCTTATACTCGTGAAGCTGGTTATCTTGTTTCTGTTTATAATAATGTTTATGTTGATTTTGGTCTTGTATTTCCCCTGCTATCTCCAGCTGGGCAATTAAACAATCTGAAACAATTGGTAGGTAATGTGCATGCGATGTGTTATATAACTTGAGATTTATTATATGGCATGTTGTACTAATATATTATAATATTTAGATGGAAATTTGTCCAACTAACAAAATATTATTTAGCACAGGTAATATTCATTATTATAATTAATTATTGTTATTACCATTACTCCAATCTAATCTCAATTCAACATGCTCCAATTTAAATTGATCTGATCCATTCTAATTTAAATTATAGATGGTCATTTTTTACCAGAGACTTATTATTTGGCAACAGTTCAAACCAAAGAAATATTATCAAAAGTTTTGACAGAATTTGTTGATAGTGAATATTTGAATGTTGATGAAGCATTAAACATCATTAAAAATATTTTATTTGAAAATTCAAATAAATTATATAAATTAAATCTCACCCTAAAATTACCTGAATCTACCTTTTCTCCACTACAAGTTGTTTCTGCTGGCAAGCATGGTAGGCATCACATTTTCAAAATATTTTGGAATATATTCTCAATATGTATTAACAACAATAGTAATGTTAATAATTACACATTTATCCACACTTGCACACACACACACAATCTACATTGCAGCTAAATTGTTCACAGATCTAAAATCTAAAGGAGTGAAATTTGTGAGATTAGGGCTTATGGATTATTGCAACCTTCATAGAATTCGTCTTGTACCAATTGATAGATTCTTTAATGATATAGTGAATAATGGGCTAAGTTGTGCTAAAGCTATACCTGCTTTTCCTTTCTTTATTGATGATGTGTCAGTTGGCAGTGGAATAAGTGTAACTGGCGAAATGTTATTATTTCCTGATCTTAACACAATTAAACAAATCCCATATCATCCATCACATGCTCACTGCCATGTCTTTATGAAAGAAAAAGATGCTTCTAGAAGTGGCTTTCCTTTCTGCACAAGAACTTTACTAAAGAATGTTTTAGATAAGGCTGAAAAAGAACATGGATTAAAGTTTTTATGTGGGTTTGAAAATGAATTTATCTTGATTAAAGATAAATCATATCATCATCATCATCCTAAGAACAAGAATAAGAATGGAAGTGATGTTGATGGTAATGATTATAGAAATGAACCAAAACCAATAGATAAAACAACTTATTGTTTGGCATCATCATTTTCTGGTAGATCAGCAACAATTCTTGATGAAATTGTGGAAAGCATTCAAAACCAAGATATTTTAGTGGATCAATTTCATTCCGAGTCTGCTTTTGGTCAATTTGAAATAGTCACTGCTCCTTATGATCCATTAACAACAGTTGATAAATTAATTGTAACCAGACAAACAATCTATGATGTTGCAAAATTAAATGGTATCAGAGCCACTTTCCTACCTAAACCTTTCAAAGATCAAGGTTTGCTGCTAAATCCTATTATGAATTTATTGAATTTGCTATTTTGTATTTTTATTGATTTATATTTAATAATAATAATTAATTAAAAATTTTTTTTTTCCAAAAATTAGCTGGAAGTGCTTCTCATTGCCATTTATCATTTAAAGAATTAAATAATAATAATAATAATTCTACTAATTGTGGCAATCACAATGATGATATTTTGACCCCTATACAAGAGTTTTTTATTGCTGGTGTGATATCACATATTAAATCTTTGTGTGCAATTACTTTACCAACTAAAAGTTCCTACGATCGTATTACAGTTGAACATTCTTGGGCAGGGTCATGGATTTGCTGGGGTTATGAAAATCGGTAGTTATTTATATTTATATTTAATTTATTGATTTGGGGATATAAAATTTATTTTTTTTAAAACTAAAAAATAGTGAAGCACCAATTAGGATTTGTAAGAATTCAGTATCTGGTATAAATTTTGAATTTAAATTTGTTGATGCCACTTCAAATCCTTACTTGGCTGTTGCTGCAATAATTTCTGCTGGAATTGATGGAATTGTTAAAAAATTAGCTTTAAACACTAAACCAATCTCTAGTAAAATTTATATATATATATTTTTTTATTTTTTTATTTTTTTATTTTAACAAAAATATAATTATTCCCATTTAACAATAAATATTGTAGTTGATCCTGGTCATTTGTCTGATCAAGAGCGCAAATCTAATGGAATTGAAAAATTACCAGTGTCTTTAAAGGAATCTTTAGAGTTTTTAAAACAAGATAATGTGTTGAATAAATGTTTAGGAGAAAAAATTATTCAATGTTATGTGGCTGTCAAAGAAGTAATTATCTGATTAACAATAATAATTTTATTCGTGTATTTATTTAATTATTAATTATTTATTTATTATTTATTTAGAATGAATTGAAGTATTTTGAAAACAAAGCTAAAGATTTATACAGTGTTTTGCTTGAAAAATATTAAAATGGATACTGTATTAGTATTACGAATTTCAAGCTCTAAGTTTTGTAATAAACTTACTTTAGAATTTTGTCATTGAACAACAATTAAAATTGATTTCACCACAACATTCTTCAAAATTTGGCATTACTGACAAACATTGTGCTGAATCAATTTTATTTCATTTATTACAGTCAGGAACTTTTACCATTAAATGGAAAACTTTTTTGAGAATGATGCTTAAATAGAGATATTAAAACTATTCAGCTGGTTTGGTTTGAAAAACTGCAGTTGGTGGTTCTGGGAACTTGTATATTAAATGTTCCTGGTTGTAAAGTTTATGTTAAAAATTCCCTGATGTTACCAGCTAAGGTATAGCATAATGGACATTTGATTTCATTGGCTAAATTTTGTGACAATCTCCTTTCCAGAAATCACACAAAAATTAAATTTTATCGAATAAATTTATGTATGGAAATTTAGTTTCGAATGGAATAAGTGAATTTCAAGTTGATGCAAGAATATATATACACTTTTAGATATAAAGTAATTATCATAAAATCATCATATTCATAGTATGTTTAAACAATAGATTTACAAAATGTTAATAACAATGATCTATTATTTATTATTATATAGACATTCTTAGTATGATTAATTAGAGTAATGACATTTTTATGCTAATAACATTAATTAATCAAAATGTATAAGTGACCTACCTTCAAAACAATTCTCTTGAATAAAAGAAAATAACAATTAACACTCAAATAATTAAATCAATACCCAAAAGTATTTGTCAGTAAAGATTGCCCATTCAATCTGATCCACATATACATGTAAAACAATTTTATTTGTTATCAATTGCTGTTTTAAAAGAAAATTTTTTTTTAGAAACTAAATTACATATATATATATAAATATACATTGATGACCATTGTAATAATTAAATATTATCAAACCTCTTGCTAGTACATTGTTCTTCCAAATATATATATATATATATATGCGTTGTGTGTTTAAATAACTTTTGCAGCATCCTTTTGCACAATGATGTAATTTTTCATAAAATAAACTATTTTGTGGCCAAATGGTGCATTGATTGAGTAGCCTAATAAATTACAAAAAACATATAAATAGACCAAAAAATTGCAATGGTTGAGTAAGTATTGCCAAATGATATCTGTGATTTGATTTTTACAATGTAAATAAAGATATGTACATATGATTTATTAGATAATTAGATAGTATAAGCATTTAACAATAATACACTAGTTATATCAGAAAAAAGGAAAGATGAGAGATGACAATTAATCTATTTAATATGGAAAATGCATGGATCCAAAAATTCTTTGAAGGCAAAGCTCCCAAAGAATGCTCTCTACAGGAGCATTGGCTTCTTCACATGAAGAAGGAAATTTTTTTTTAGCAATGTTATAACATTATACACAGTGTATCTCGATTTAGCAGATATGTTCATTCCAAAAAAATTATCTGCTAAATTGAGATATCCGCAAAACCAAGATATTATGAAATGATCACATGATACATTGTACAATAATATTAATGCTAATACAATAAAATAAATAATATTATAATACATATGACAAATAAAATATACATATGATAATAAAATGTAACAATAATAAGTAGTTAATTTATTCATTCATAAAATAATCCTCTAGTTTATTACAAATCTATCGAAAAATTTTTGTATCTGAAGATTTCTAATTTAAAATTTCATCATCATTAATATTTAATTACATTTGGTGCCTGTATTAGTTAATGATCAACATTATCCATTGTATTGAGATATTTTTATTATGCTCAAACATATAGATTTATAAAAAAAATCCACTAAATCGAATATATATGAAAAATCCATTAAATCCGTTAAATCGAGATAAAATAATTATTAGTCATGTGACATTTCCCTGAGGCTGCTTTTCTATACACTTCCTGGTCATAAATATAAGGACACTTGCAGATCATCGGAAATAATTGAATAAAGAAACATGAAAAAAAA